TTTTTTTTTAATATAATGAAGCACTACTCAGTCATAAAGGATAAAGTGGTGGTGTTCCAGGTAGATGGATGAAACTCAAGACCACACTCATAAGTGAAATAAATCAGACTCACATGTGCAAACAGTGAATTGCCTCACTTGCGTAGAGACTGAGCAAGTAAATAAGGTGCAAAACATACAACAGATACTGTGAATTGGGGAGAAACTGTTGAGACAAAAAGAAAAATTGTGATGGGAAACGGAAAAATGAAGGGGAAAAGAAACAAATAAATATTTATATGCAAAATAGGTAGAATACTTAGATGACAGTTTATCTTAGTTCATTGAAAAGAAAGATTTGGGCTAATATTGCTAATATATCACTCCTAGATCTCCTCAGTAGTCTATAATTTGGTTAGAGAAAACCAAAGGGAGACGAGACAAAAAAAAAAGAGAGAGAGAAAGAGTAAAGATACAGCTGCCTTTGTTCAGGCCTAAAAAAACAAATAGAGCTTAAGTCTTCTTTTCAGGGCTCCCAGAAAGCTCAATGACAAAACTCACTTGCTGTGACTGTGAAATCCAGACCACCTTAAGAGGGAACCCCTTTGCCAAACCTTACCTACAAAGGTGGCCAAAGGAGTTGAGATCTGAAGTCTGGTGGGAAAACCCAGAGCTCAGACCCAGGGCCCCTTCTCCCTCTGAGAAGAGACTGTAATCCCCACCTGTCTTCTCCATGGGAGCACCCAAGGCAACCAGGATTGTAGAGGAAGAAACCAGCCTATTGCTGGGCATTGTCTTATATATTTTGGTCCTTCTCTTCAACCCTGGCCTTCCCTCCAGGTATCATATCTCAATTTTTAAAAAGTCACTGAAAAAAAGGTAATTTGCTTAAGCTGTAACTGCGTGAATTCTTTTTTTCTTTTTTTAATGTGCTTTGGTATAGGGTCTACAGGTCTCACTACACAGATCACTCAGTGATCCTCATTTTCAACCTCCCAAGTGCTGGGATTACAGGTGTGCACCACCACACCCAGTCTCTGGGATGAATTCTTTACCCATTCCTTTTAATTATGCCTAAAAGCCCAGTTGCTCTGTTAAGAAGAGTTCCCTTATCCTATCTAAATTCTATAATAAATATACTCATATGGCAGTTAATCAAAATGATGCCGAGTCTGGTGTTACAAATACATATGCATTGTTGTCTATGTGTAATAACTTGAGAGTCTTCCACTGGGCAAAATAATGTGCTGTTACACTCTGGTTCTCCTAAGTCACCAAAAGTTTTGAGATAATTTCAGCTAAAACTAGAGGGATTAATGGCTACATAACAGGCTCCATCATAGAGGGGTCCAAGAGCCAGTGGAATACACCTGCTATTCCAGTCCCTTAAGAAGTTTCTAGATTTTGCTCTTTCTCCAACGCACTATCTGTTCGGGGGTGCATTGATTACATTGTTCTAATTTCTCCTTGCCTAGAGGCTGTCAAGCCCCCAGGGACTGTATAGATAAAAGCAATGACAAATACGCTAGACTTCTTTTCCTGGAACCCACAGATGGACCCTGTAGAGATGATTACACAGCACAAGAAGCCTTAAGTCACTGCACCTTATGAGCCTTAAATGAGACCTCCACTGGTTTCTCCATCTCTTAAGGATATGTCATATTTCAAAATTCCCTAGGCTCTGTCCTTATCCTTTTTATAAAAAGCTATTACTGGCTCTTCCAGGTGGAAACCTTTGTTGACTATATTGATAATTATGATCTTGCTATTATTTGGCACAGGTATAACTGTTTCTTTGACCTTGTTTCCTCCGGACTTAAATCTATACATCTACATTTGTTAGAATGCCTGCTGCCTCTCTAGAGTGGTTAAAAAGACCTCTGTGGAATATCTCCAGCTGCTGATCACTACTACAACCCTCTTCAACCAGATGCCGCCAGAATGATCTTGCCACTTGCCCCCTCATGGCAAGTAGGGATGTTAATTCAGACAGTATTACACATAGGTAAGCTATTTAGAAATATAGGCAGGGCTGGGGAGATAGCACAGTGAATTAAAGCGCCTGCTAAGGCAAGCCTAAGCAAGAGCAGGGACTGTGATTCTATCCACAGCACCACATGCTGTGCTGGCCCAGTCCCCAGGGCGGGCTGAGCCAGCCAGACTCTGGGCATAGTGCTTACACCTGGAATCCCAGTGCTGAGGAGGCTGAAAGTAAGAGGATCACCATGAGTCCCAGCTGCATAGTGAAACCTTGTAACAACCAAGTAAATTTTTAAAAAAGAAATATTGTAGGCAGTCAGATTGGGCTGAACCTTTAAGTCAATGTGAAAGGTAACTGTGTCTGGACTCATATTGACTAAAGGCCAAGCTTCAAGAAAAGAGGTACCACGACACCCACATACTTCCCCTAGGGATGAGCACCAGTCAATGGCATGGTCAGAAGACTTCACATTGGAGTAGAGGACCAAACTTTCTTAACCCACCCCTTCCAGGACAGTCCTTGTCCTTCCCATGTCCATGTTACCCTCTTTGCAATTTGAACTCCACTTAATCAATATCATCTAAGCCACTATGCTTGCTAAAAATTTATTGGTTCACCAGTTTTGTTTTGTTTATTTTAGGGAGGGGTCTACAGGGTGTTCAGGGTCTCACTACTAGATCAGACTCATAGTGATCCGCCTGTTCAGCCTCCCAAGAGCTGGGATTACAGGCCTGTGCCACCACACCCAATCTCAATCAGACTCAGTGCACCCTGGGGGTGGGCCTGACATGGCAGGCCCAGGGATTGAACCCCTGACCCCTGCCCCTGCTTGCAGATGCTTTAATCTGCTGACCTATTTGGCCAGCCCTGGTTCACCATAGTTCTGTGCCACCTCACACCCATCCTTTGACTTTCCCAGTGGATCAGTATGACCATAGTTGGAATTTTATGGATTGGTTATAATTTTGTCGCACCTTGAGCCCATCTCACTGTGTGACTTTGCTCAATGAACACCCTTGAGAGGCGCGGTGGGAATAGAACCCACCTTCTGGTCAAGCCTCTTTTCCACAGAAAAACTACTTCCTTTCAGTGAATTCTACCTGCCTTTGCTCCTAGACATCATTCTTGGATTTTAGAACACAGTTTGGCATTTTGAACACCTAGCAGGTTGAGAGTTTCTTTCCCTTGTGTCAGAAATGTATCTGTAACTTTTGAGCAACACACAAACTTAGCAGATCACACAGTTGCAGACTTCAAAATCCTAAGCCACAAAGCATCTTAATTCTGCCTGGCTTGGTGGGACAAGAATTTATCTGGAAATATACTAAAATCAATTTATCCCAGGCACTTACACATAGAAATAAAATCTTTAGAGGTCATCTTGTATTAATCATGGTATTTCCTCACTTTTTAGGAAACATAATAAGGACCCTCCATCAGCTAGTCTAAATTCTCATCTTTCCACTTACTAGCTAAATTTTGGGTCTATTTGCTTTTCCCATTATGCATCCTTTAGTTTTTTTTTTGTTTGTTTGTTTTTGTTTTCCCCTGGAACCAGGGATTGAACTCAGACCCTTGCGCTTGCAAAGGAAGCACTTATTCCACTGAGTCATCTTCCTGGCTCCTACGCATCCTTTACAATGTTATTAATAACTGAAACCACATTGCATTTTAATATATTGTCCCTGGTAAAACACATGAGTATTTAAATAAAACTCTGTTATCTGCCTATGATGTATTTCCTCTCTTCCTAAAAGCAAAAACACTTTTCATGAGAAAGTGTTAGTTTTGGTTCATTCTCTGGAGCAGTGCACAGGAAGCTTTGACGCGAGGCCTGTGTCTGGTCTACACCCAATTCCGTGACCAAAGACCACACAGACACCTATTCACTGGCATGTTACCAACAGAACTGCAGCAGAGCTCAACGGTTCCCACAAGATGCCCAAAGCCCAACCCATCCATTGTCTCTGCCCTCAGGCCCAGAATGCTCCAAGCAAGGATATTAACTCAATGCAACAAAGAAAGAAACTGAATGAGTATCTTAGGAAAGACCTGTCAGAATACTGCAAAGGACCTGTATCTCCAGTTTCACCCACAAGTCGTTAGGATGGAGGCAAGAATAAGACAAGGCCACCTACAACCACAGCGAGATGCCACAAGTCTGGGGAGGAGGCCACACATCTACAGGCTGGGAACCCTCCAAGGCAGTTCCATCAGGACAGTGCTACAAGCTCTATCCAATATCAGATCACCTCCAACTATTGAGTTTGTTGCCATTTTTGAGGCTCTGGTTTCTTTTCAGGGGTGGGAGTCCATGCCAGGGATTAAACAAGGGCCTTGGGTATGCCAGGCAAGTACACTACCACTGAGTACATCCCCAGGAGCTGTGTTCTAGCTCACTGTCCTCCTTACTATGACACAGTAAAGGCTGCTCAGTTGTTAACCACCCCAGGATGGGGACCATGTGAATATAAAGGAGTAGAACAATATTTTAAACGCAAGATTTTTATTTTTGCCAAGCCAGAAAAAGCCTGAAGGTTGACACCTACTGGTCCCTCAGCCAACCGCAGCTTCCCCACGCACAAGGCAATGAGAAGCATTTGCTTTCTCTCCACAGGGTGGAGAGGGAGCACCTAGGCTTTGGAAGCTGACTTGTAATGAGTCAGAGTGCGGGCTGAAGGGTCGGTGGCATTGATCCACTTGGGCATCCAGTAGTGGCTCAGCCAGCCGGCCCGGCCTGGGTAGTGCCGTTCGAAGATCTGCCGGTAGTAGTAGCCTTCTTTAGTCTTTGGAGTATTGAAGGGAAATTTCTGGGCTGCGTCTGCCATCATCGCATCATCAACCTGTAAAGTAAGAGTTTTGTAAACAATAAAGAAACATTTGTGTTTGCCTCAGTGCATCAGACAGAAATAAAGGTACCAAAGCCACAACAAACAGTTGCACAAGATTCTCCCACCAACTCACTCTTTCAAAAGACCAAAGTATCGTCCTATGCATGGCTGCACAAATTTTTGAAAAAGTGTTTGCATGCATATTCCTAATATCTTGGTGGCTGTGAGTGTTTCACTCTTTTGTGGCTAACACTGCGCAGCACCAAGCAGGCAACCCAAAATGACCAGTGATGGTCAAGTCTCTGCTCCCCCTTCTTCCTCTTCTGCTTCTACAACTTGGCATTCTTCTGTGCTATTGCACTCTTATGTACTTCTTAAAAATGAGATATTATGTGTAGGCACTGTGAACCTCTCCCAAACACATCTTATTGAAACTAGATCAAAATCAATGCAAATTATCCAGTTCCGGGAAAACCTTCTTATAAAACCAAAATCACACCTGATGGTCAACAAACTCCTGCAAAATCTTAAACCAGGAATTCTTGATGGAGGTGATGCCGTCGCTGAAGGCCTCCTTCGGCCGCCAGAGGATTTCTTTGGGTAGCAGGTGGGAGTCTTCAAAGGCCTCTCTCAGGAGATGTTTCTCGACCCCATTCTGAGATGAAAACAGGTGAAGCATCAGTAAAAGTCACCTAGGCAAGGTGAGTGCAAGGGAAGGGTTTATCCTGGGTTGATTTACCCACTTTGGGAATCCTCATTTCTGGCGGCAGAGACAAGTAATAGGCAGAAAATCGATGATCCAGAAATGGAACTCTCAGCTCAAGGCTTAAAGGAGAAAAGAGCAAAGTGTAAGTGAACACACATATTTGGTGCATGTCTGGTCAGCTCTTGGCGCAGTCTCCTAGCATTTGAACCGGAA